GAGGAAGCTGGCGATGAGGAAGCTGGCGATGAGGAAGCTGGCGATGAGGAAGCTGGCGATGAGGAAGCTGGCGATGAGGAAGCTGGCGATGAGGAAGCTGGCGATGAGGAAGCTGGCGATGAGGAAGCCGGCGATGAGGAAGCCGGCGATGAGGAAGCCGGCGATGAGGAAGCCGGCGATGAGGAAGCCGGCGAAGACCCCGACTCCTCAGCAGCACTGTGACTGCCTTTATGGGCCTCCTCTGGTAGAGGCCCTTTAGGACCCAAACCGTCACCAACCCTCTTTTCTCCAGGTTTCAGCTTGGAGGCAATCTCCCCATCATTCCCCAGCGTTGTGAGTGGTCCCTCAGCAGCCGGTGTTGGAAGTGTGACTTTGCTGGCACTGAGGCTCGTGAGCCTATCAGCATGAAGTGCCTCGTTGTACAGCAGGACATTGCCCACAGCCACGTCAACCTCGCCTGCCCCCTTCGCACCGTCGCCGCCAACGTAGAAGTCCAAGACACCGCGTGATGTGGACGCAGGGCGCACATCATCCTCTTCAACAATCTTATTCCCGTCAATGTACACCCAGAAATTACGCGACTGCTTTTTCAGTACCACTTGATACGTTGTGCCAGGCCACCACATACCATCTTTATCTGGCAACTCCCGAGACTTTCCGTTGACAGTCACTCCCCACTTATTGTCCTCCGTGTAGAACAGACCAACAAGCACAGTGCTGGCATCGTCGTTCATCCTCACACCCATCAAAGGGGTGTCTGCCTCCGACACCGCGTTAATCATCACCGTCGCCACAAGAGTAAAGTCATTGTTCACAAAGTAGTACGGCTGGAATTGCCCCTTGCTGCCCACCGGCCACTCCGCCCCCGCTGCTGCGCCTCGGAACCTCACAACCCCCTCCGTGCCTGCCACATTCCCACCATGCACCGTTGCGTTCACTCCAAGGTATTCGTCCTTCCATAAATTCCCCTCCAAACTGTTGGACCAAAAGCCAGCCAGCCCTTTGGTGGGAACAGCACTTTTACAAACATTCTTTATCCGCGGGTCAACAGTGCCAGTGGAAAGGCAGTTTTTTAGTGCGGTGTCCATATCTTTCCAAGCCTTCACCATGCTCTTTATCCGCTCCAGCTGCTCAGTCAGGTTCACGGCGACAAGACTGTATGAATCTCCGCTCTTCTTCTCGTACAGTAAAATCAACTCCTTCTTGTCAGCTCTGTACAGCAGGGAGCTGGCGGCGGCGTCATCACCTTCGCGAGACACCGGCCCAACGTCGTGCACACGGGCATTGTCTGTCACCCAAAGATGCAGCCGACCCTCTCCCTTCTCAGAATACACCGGCATGGTAAGCAGCATCACCTTCTTTCCATCAATGGTTGCAGTGATGAACCCGCTTCGCACGCCCTCCCCTTTTCGATCATGTGAGTTTCCCCACACGCGGGAAATTGCTGTACCGTCAGACCAATAATCAAAAGATACCAAAGACTTGTACATGTAATAGGAGCCATCCGTGCAGGGAGCACTCATGAAGATGCGTCGGTCATCGAGTGCGCCCCACTCCACAATCGATGGATTGTGGCAACCCTCACCCTCCGTATCGACTACAGGTGTCCATCTATTCCATATCGGGGTGAAGCGCACGACCAGCAAAACGTTATTTCCACTCTTTGTGGCCTGCATGGGAAACACAACTGTGCCGTCACTCATCACAGTACCTGATCCTCCGCCAGCAGATAAATGAGTCAAGGATCCACGAACTCTAGTGTCAGGATACATTGCATGGGTCTCACCCCACCGGACTTTCTTCTCTCCAGCCTCAGTGACACTCCCCTTCACCAGCAAAAGCTTACATCCACTTCGATCAGCCTCTCTGGTCTCCTGTGTTGCACGGCTGCAGCTTCTCAGCAGTACATAGACATTGTTGCCACTCACAATTGTCGTTGGCCGCATTGTATCCTTCATTCCCTTGTCACCTTCCTTCAGAAGCTGCGTGTGAAAGGAACCTGTGCCCGCACCCATCGGAATTTCAGTCGGTTTTGATCCAATTCCCTTCAGGTGCCGCGACATGATGCCAGTGAAGCTGTTAACTCCATTCTTGCACTGGGCCTCAGCAACGGCAAACACAGCACCGTCCACCTCCACAAGGCTGGGGACACGAAGCGAGCGAAATGACCCTTCGACGCATTGCATTTCCTCCCACTTGGCACCAGTTATCGGTGTCGTCCCTGTAAATAAATTAATAGCCGTCCCTGGGATACTCCCCGCAGCTTGACTGCCACAGCATGTCAAGAGCACAAACAGCAGCAGAAGCACCGAATAAGAAAGCAAATACCAGGACATCTTGGGCATGTGTCGCTGCTCTCTCACACTCTCTTCGCTCCGCGCGGTGGACCCACTCAGGCCGCGACAGTTGTGTGTGTGTGTGTGTGTGTGTTGCTGGTGGTGACTGCAGAGCCCTTCAATGTGCACAGCAGCGAGTAGCGTTTGGTCTCTTTCCTTCCGAGCACGTTGAAGGAAAAAAAGAAAAAGAGGTAAAACCAACGAAAAAAAGAAGATAACAAAAAGCATTGAGAACGCGTAGTCGTCCAGCGGCAAGAGTCACGGCTCACTCCCCAGCCACGCACGGAATAAACCCATCCACATCCACAAAGATGCAAAAAAAAAAAACTCTCCCACGAACCCACACAGCGGAGAATGAAAAATTAAGGTAAAAAAACGATGCATAGATCAAGTGGTCTTAGAAAACTTTGTACATTGCCTGCAGCAAGTGATGTGCATCCACTTTATTACCCACGGGACAGACGCAGGCCCAAGCATCACTGACACTTCATTGAGGCTTTCACCGTGCTGTTGCACCTCTCAAATATTTTTTGTTTGTTTCATCGGTGTGGCGCACAGTGCCGTCGGAGCGCTTCATAAACGGG